AAGAAAAGAAAAAGGAAAAAAAAAAAAGAGAGAAAAAGAGAGGAAGAGAAAGAGAAAGAGAAAATTCCGGATCGCGAAGAACTCACGCGAGACATCGAGAAGATCGACTTAATAAACGTAATTGAGATTGAATTCATCTTTAAAGTCCGACTCGTCGTCGTCGTTGTCGTCGTCGTCGTCGTCGTCGTCGTCGTCATCGTCGTCGTCGTCGTCGTCGTCGTCGTACTCGTGTTCTCGATTTTTCCCTCTTTTACTTGGTTATCACGTAATAATATCATAGATTTTGATGCGTTTTAATAAATCCTTCCCGTCGAGATTACGTGCACCGTGATTCTTCTTTCCTCTTTTGGTATCTATTCGTTCTTTGATCGTCCATTGTAATACATAATTCTTTCCTTTTTCCTTTTTCTTTTTTCTTTCTTCGTTTCGTTTCGTTCCTTCTTTCTTTCTTTCTTTTTTTTTTTGTTTTGGACCTTTTTTTCATTTTTTTTTCTTTTTTTTTTTTTTATATATATATATATATATAAATACTAGCGCAAGGATAAAAAGAAGTAGGAAAATAAAATGGAATGGAATGGAATGGACAGAAAGAAAGAAAGAAAAAGGAATACATGAAAAAAAAAAAAAGAAAAGAAAAAATAAGAGAGAGAGAAAAAGAAAAAGAAAAAGAGAAGCTCTTGTGTGTCTCATTCTGTCTCGCAAAATTGCTTTTTAAATAGGTCCGTCACGCAATGTTTTTACTGAGAGTCCCACTTAACTTGCAGTTCGTTGAAACGTTCTTTCTCTCTCTCTCTCTCTCTCTCTCTCTCTCTCTCTCTCTGTCTCTCTCTCTGTCTCTCTCTGTCTCAAGACCGAGTTTTACTCGTATTTCGCAAAACAGTTTCGCGTCAAAGACATAAATTGTAACTAACGTTGGTAATTATTTCACACGCTTCGTGGAAAAACAAAAGGTCGGTCATGTTAGAGATAGGCAGACTTTAGAACGCAATGGTGCATTGTCGTTAAACTCGATCAAAAATTCTCTACAACTTTGCATCTGCTCTTTAAACAATTGTTATAAACAACGCGTACGAAGCTTACATATAGAACACGATCGGTCGATACGACATATGTAAGTAATATATATATACATATATATATATATATATAAACATGTGTGTAGGTATGTATGCATGTACGTATATGTGTATATGTGTATATGTGTCTATAGAAATGTCGACGACGATATTGAGAACGAAAGAGAGAATTGTGGTGGAAAGGGAGCGTGAGAGAAGTAGAGAAAGGGAAAACGGAAAAGGGAAGAGGGGGAGAGGGAAATTCACGTATAGTTTACTTATAATAAAGATTATAACGGTTAATTAAACTCCTGTTTCGTTATTCACATCGATAGTTTATAAATGGATGATGATCTCGTTCGAGCACATTTTCACTTTTCTGATGATAAAAGATCATTTTATGAAGTTATTTTGTTTTCTTGTCTTTTTCTCTCTCTCTCTCTCTATCTATATCTATCTATCTATCTTTTGTATCTCTTACAATAATCAATTAATTTCACGAAGGAAACGAATAAAAGAAAAAGAAAAAAAAAAAACAAGGAAAAAAGAAGAAAAAAAGGACGACAAAAAATTAAAAAAAAAAAGAAAAAAAATTGAATGGACAGACAGACAGGTGATCGTCTGTCGTGCGTTTAATTAGATACAAAAGGAATATAATTTCAATCGGGATTCCCAATCGAATCTCATTTAAAACAATGAATGTTAGCGATCATTACATTCTCATCGGTATAATCAGATTTTCGAACGTTCCACATTTCGAAATTAGCTTGGATCCTGCTCCGATAATAATAATAATAATAATAATAATAATAATAATGACGATGACGATGATGATGATGATAACAATGATGGTCCCAGCAATAACGATACTAATAATAATAATAATTATAATTATTATTATTATACTTATAATAATAATAATTGGCAATGGGCCGAAAAATTGTCAAAGTCGAATACGAAAGCGATCACAAAGTAAATAGAAGATAATAGATGAGTGACCAATAGAATAGAATAGAATAGAATAGAATAGAATAGAATGGAATAGAATAGAACAGAACAGAATAGAATAGAAGTTAAGAGAAAAGAAAGTCTTAACAAGTGACATAGTAGCCCTAATAGTAATAATAATACTAGTAGTAGTAGTACTAGTATTAGTATTAATAGTAGTAGTAGTAATAGTAGGAGTAGTAATAGTAGTAATAGTAATAGTAGTAGTAGTAGTAGTAGTAGTAGTAGTAGTAGTAGTAGATGGGATAGTATTCGATTAAAAGAAAAATGCTCAACGATGATAAGCCAAGTCGCGAGGCTTACGTTGAAAGATCTTAAAGCCTTTGCTTCTTATGTCAAGGTTTCACACTTGCCCTTGTTATATCGAACCTAACTAGAAGGTAAAGATGATGTGGAAAGAGAATGTGAGAGAGAGAGAGAGAAAGAGAGAGAGAGAGAAAATGGCAGTGGTATGAGAATGAGTGAAGAGACATTGATTGTCCAAGAATGTTGCTGAGACGTGCAATAAAACGTCACGATGTTCGAGGTGGCCTTTAATTAAATGCGTCGTCGGTGACAGAAGTGGTGTGTCAAGAGAGAGATAGATAGGTAGATAAAGAGAGAGAGAGAGAGAGAGAGAGAAGACCGACAATTATGTTAGAGCTTTGGCAACGAACTTTAACCCGAGTATCAACCACTCATGTCCCATTTTCTCTCTCTCTCTCTCTCTCTCTCTCTCTGCTCTTTACCTTTTCGTTGCTTCCTATAGATACATAGGATAGAGATAGATACATATACGTAGATATATATATATATATATATATATATATATATATATATATAGATATATATGTACGTACACAGATGTTCCGATCGAATTTTCAAAGCGATAGCTAGACTGCTATCCTGCAGTACGATCCGCAGACAAAATATAGTACACGTGACCGGACAAATAGCTACGAACACTTATTCGAGCTGTCACGCGAAACTATACTGTGTGTTACACGATAGAATCTTGTTTCAGTATGTTCTAATGTTTATATGCGTATTTGCGCATGTGTCTCTCTCTCTCTCTCTGTCTCTCTCTCTCTCTTTCTCTCTCTTTCTTTCTTTTTATCTATCTGTGTGTGTGTGTATGTATATGTGTATATGTGTGTGTTACATATCTGGTTGCATCGGTGACCACGACAATAAAGTTCTTAAGGCCGATAAAGAAAATCGCTGTGTCGACAAGATAAGAGAACTTATCGTCGTTGCTAATTTTTGGTAAGAAAACAACGTTATACTAATTTAAGATATCACCTGTCTATTTACCCGTCGGCATTTTTTTTACTTCAAAATATAATTTTATTCTAATCTCGTTACCCTCCTCCCCCACTTTCTCTTTTTCTCTCTCTCTCTCTCTCTCTCTCTCTCATTTTTTCTTTCTCTGTTATCACTACGAATATTTTTCAATCAATTCAAAGATAGCCAATCCTAAAGGTAAATAATTTTTTCTTAAAAAAAATCTCGAAGATATGTACCTATGTATCATCGAAAAAAAAAAAAACAAAATTGAACAAATAAAAATCAGCTTGCCTGCTTGCTTGCCTGCTTGCTTGCCTGCTTGCTTGCTTGCTTGCTTGCTTGCTTGCTTGCTTGCTTGCTTGCTATCAGGAACAAACTCAAAGACGTTAAAGGATATGTTTACCTGCGTCTATCCCTTCTATCAATGACACGATTCGATACATACATATATATATGTATGTAAATATATATTCGAGGATAAATAACAAGAGAGTTTTTCACATATAAAAGGGAAAGAATTGAAACTTACGATCGAATATCACGTGACCTGATCCTTTGCCTTCTGGTCGAATCGAAGAAATTACCTTATTTATATGTATATATATATATATATATATATATAGATACAGATATGAACACATACATATATATATCTTTCTCTCTCTCTCTTTCTCTCTTTTTTCTTCTTCCAATCGAATTCGTCAGATCAAAAAATGGGATTATTTTAAATAAGAGTATACACGCACGTGTAACGACGTTCTAAAGCAAACACCAGCACAAATTCTTCTCCTCGTCCTCGAGACGCTTGAACTCTCCCCTCTTCATCTTATTATCGATCTATCGATCTATCTATCTATCTATCTATCTATTTATCTATCCTTCTTCCGTGACACACATCATATACGCATAGGTACGTACACATAGATGAAAAAAGAAAAGGAAAACAATATACGATATAGAGAGAGAAAGAGAGAGAGAGAAACAGGATAGTTATCGATATCTATCGGACAGGTCGTTGTTCTTCTCTATTCTCGCTTCGTTTGCTTACTGTCTTCTTCTTCTTCTTCTTCTTCTTCTTCTCCTTCCTCCTCCTCCTCCTCCTCCTTCTCTTCTTAATTCTCCCAGATACAAACGATCGACGACGCATCATCGCTATGCGTCACCGTACCCCACAAATATATCTATTTTTCTCATTTAAAATTCTTAGAATGATAATTATTCAAAGAATAACGACGATGATAATAATAACAATACTAATAATAATAATTATTATTATTATTATAACAATAACGACGATTGTTTAAAGGAATATAAAATGACGATAATGAGAACGATGATGCGTTTCGTTCGTTTTTCTCCTTCTTTTTTCTTTTCTTATCTTTTACTTTTTTTTCTCTCTCTCTCTCTCTCTCTCTCTCTCTCTCTATTTATCTATCTATCTTTCTCTTTCTCTAATATTCTGAGAAACGTCAAAGTGACCAACAGACAGAAACAGATAGACAAACAGATAGACATACATACACATATCTACACACGCATATGCATGAACATGCACACACAACGTACACGCATACACAAGCCCACATGCACACACACACACACAGACACACATACACACATACACACGTAATAATAATTATGTAGTGTCACGTCAGTGTTACAAAAGCTCACTGTCGATAATTAATCGTCGCTGACCCAGGAATCCCGAGGAGCACGGAGGTACACGCGCGCATCATCCTCGGCTCGCTAACTAGCCACCAACAACAACGGCGACGGCGACGATGATGACGATGACGACGACGACGTCGGCAGCAACAACAACGACGACGACGACGACGACGTCGGCAGCAGCAACGACGACGACGACGACGACGATGGGTACTCGGGACGATGACGTTCGACGATCGAACGTTCTTCCTCTACTTTTCTTTTCATCTTTGTATACTCTCGTCCTCTCGAATAATATCACCTCGATCATCGTCATCCATCTTCTTTCGTTGTTGTTACCTTGTTGTTGTTATTGTTGTTGTTCTCTTTCGTATATTCTATTTGTTCCTTTCCCTTCCCTTCTTATTTATTATACATTTCACTTGAACAAATCAAATTAACGATTACGTTTAATTAAAGATCTTTCTCGATTATTAATTCACTCGTAACGATCGAAAACGTAAAGCAAAGAAAAAGACTTTTCCCGCGTATAAATTTGACCAAACGAAATGGGGTAGTGGAGTGGAGTGGAAGGGAGGGTAATGGGTGTGGGGTGGAATGGGAGGACAGACGAGAGGTGGGAGATGTTAGAGAGAAATAGACTTTAAACGAGGATGAGACAGAAGAGGAGGGTCTGCGGTTAGATTTTATAGTGAAAAATCGAAATTGATAACACCTTGTTTCGTTTATCTTCACGGCACATCGATCGATCTCACTCGATTGGTTTCGATCTATCGATCTTTATTACTATGAAGTCTCGGTGTTGTTATTGTTATTGTTATTGGTGTTGTTGTTGTTATTGTTGTTGTTGTTGTTGTTGTTGTTGTTATTCCTGTTTCTGTTTTTGTTTATTATTGTTATTATTAAAATTATTAATCGGATCGCGAAATATACGTATAATACGGATTTACGATTTACAACGATAATAAATCTTTGTTTAATCGAGTACGTACGTACACGTATCCTCGTGCGATTCTTTAAGATCCTTTTAACGATATGCTTTCACACGATCTTAAATCGATCAACGTTGATCGTTTGAATGAACGTTAAAGTTTCAAAAGAACAACAACGACTTACGACGACGAAGAAGAAGACAAGGACGAGGACAAGGACAAGGACAAGAACAAGGACAAGGACGACGACGACGATAACGAATAACAACAATGAAAATAAAAATGTCCTTGTTCTTAATAAAAACAAAATGTTCTTCGTTCCCCTTCTCCTTCCCCCCAACCCACCCACCCCTCTTCTCAACGTCGAATTTTCACACTGTCAACAACACCATGAGAGGAAGAGTACAAGGAGGAAAATAAAAAAAGAGAAAGAAGAAAAAAAAAAAAACAAAGAAAGAAAGAACAGAAGCACACGCCGCAAAAAGAAAAATCACTTTCTACGATGATTTAGATCATTCACTACGTTCGTCATTTTATAAATCAACTAAATACATCTCGAATGGACTTTAACAAACGACGAAAAAGAGGAAAAGCAAATTTTTTTTTTTTTTTTTTTTTAATCGTAATAATACATTTGTGTGTATGTATGTATCTATGTATCTATGTATGTATGTATGTATGTATGTATGTATGTATGTATGTGCGTACGTACGCGCGCGAGGACGAAAACGCGTAAACGCACGCGCGTTCCGTCCGACTGTCTATCAGTCTAGATATATGTGTATGTGTGTGTGTATATATATTGTGTGTTGTGTGTATGTGTTTATGTGTGTATGTGTGTGTGTGTATGTGTGTGCGTGCGCGTGCGTGCGTGCGTGCGCTTTAACGACGACAAAGCTCGCAGCGTGGCGGATCGGCCGCGACTGAATCGTCGCCGTTACCGTCCTCGTCCTCATCGTCGTCGTCGTCGTCGTCGTAGTCGTGCTCGCGTCGACTCCGCCGCTCTCTCTCTCTCTCTCTCTCTCTCTCTCTCTCTCTCTCTCTCTCTCTTTCTCTTTCTCTCTCTCTTTCTCGCGTTGAGCTTGAATGAGCGAGTGTACGAGTTCACAAGTGTACGAGTAGAACGAAGAGGAAAGAAGATGCGGCGAGCAAGAGAGAGAGAGAGAGAGAGAGAGAGAGAGGGAAAGAGGATAGAGTGGGGGAAAAAGAGAGAGAGAGAGGGAAGAAGAGGGTGGGAGAAAGAGAAATACGTTCGTGTGAGCTTCGAGGGTAGAAACCAAAAGAGGGGTTGGAGTGAGCAAGAGAGAGAAAGAGAGAGAGAGGGAAGCTTTCGAAGAGTAGAAAAAAGGGATATATATATATGTGTAGAGTTATGTATATATATATATGTGTGTATATGTGTATGTGTGTATGTGTGTATGTATGTATATATATATATTTGCAGCCATTGCAACTAGTGCTCTTACTATACGGATATTCGACTACATACTCAAATTATTCATTATAACCCCATATACAGAAGTTCAACTCCCTGGATCTTACAGAGTGTATTTGGAGTATCCGGTTATTCGTATATAACACCATCAATACACCATGAATATTTGATTGTTCGTTCTAATGCTCTTAATCCTATCTATTTGTTCTTATTAAAAATAAACGCCATTAAAAAATGTCCTACAAATGTTGTATAATATAAGATTTAAATTATCCTATTTTATAATCAAATTAAATTCTCTCATGTTACTATTTATGTTTCGTACCATTATTTTTTTCACGTTGTTTACTTCTTCTTTTTTTCTTCCTTCTCCTTCTTCTTTTTTCTGTTTTTTTTTGTATTTTTCTTCTTTTTTTTCACAAAGCAAAGGTCAACATCCTCGCCAGGAATGACTTCGGTCCATTCGGTGGCATCACGCGACAATTACGAATAAACAAACAAACAAACGAACGAACGAACGAACGTACGAACGAACAAAAAAATGCCCAACTGGATTATCGATTGAAATTTCGATAATATTATATCGCAACTAGAGGCATTCGAATAGTACTGCATACGAATGGTCAATCATCAACATCGTTGTCATCATCATTTCGACGATTCATATATTTTCGTTAATTAATTAATCATAATCCATGCGTTAATGTTAATCCTTTTCATAATCCCAATCAAATAATTGTATAATAACGATTGATCGTTACATCAAATCGATTCTGTCATATTTCACATTACACGAGAATAATAATTTAGATGATTATTAAGAATAAAAAAGGTAAAGTAATGAAGATCATTACCTTAGTCATAGTCGAAATGATCTTTCCACGATCCAGATATACTCGGATATTCGAAGATCCAAGCAATAATAATTAATTACAATCAATGGAATCTCTCTCTCTCTCTCTCTCTCTCTCTCTCTCTGTGTGTGTATATATGTGTGTGTGTGTCTGGTATACGTAAAATATATCTTGAAGATATTTCCGTACCTTGCGTTTTCGATGCGAACAATTAATTAACAAAGCTTATAATTAAACAACGCTAAATTTATTTTCGTTCGTTCCATATTATCATTACGTCTCTCTCTCTGTGTGTGTGTGTGTGTGTGTGTGAATATTTCTTCCTTTCTTTCTCTCTGTTTCTCGTTCCAGTTATAGAACTACCTTACAATGCGACGTTCGGCACACTACTGAGCGACCTACGTGCTTGGAATAAGATGATCGAGAGACGAGAGGCTTGTTTGTAAACCTTCTGTTCCTCGTTATACCCTTCAGAATCACTCTAGTTTGTTTATCAAAGTTAAAAGGTTAAGAACGAAGAAAATTCAATGGATCTATGATAATGATCTTTACGTATCACCTTTGATTCCTATTCGTAACTTGTAAATGAATAAAATTGTTTCTATGATGTTATTGGCAAATCGATCTTAAATCGATTTTAAATCGATATTAGAAAGATGAACGATTAGATTTTTTAATTATGTAATAAGTTTTTTTATTAAGCATAAACGTGTTATAAACGCGATCTCTCTCTCTCTCTCTCTCTTTCTCTCTTTCTCTCTTTGTGATCGATTCAATCGACAAAAAGTATCGATTATCAATTTATATCACGTGATGTAAAGCTGGCGCTTATTTTCAAATCTTTTATTTCACGCCAAGACAAAACCGAAGATAATATTTTTCTTTATTACTTTTTATTTCTTTCTTATTTTTGTTTTTTTCTCTTTTTTTTTTTCTTTTTTAACAAAATAAACAATAAAACCACGCGTTAATCGGTTATGCGAAAAAATTTTATTTCGGCATAAATCGAATTTTATTATTTTCTTCTTTTTCTTTTTCATCACTTTATTTATTTTCCCTTTCTCTCTCTCTCTCTCTCTCTCTCTCTCTCTCTCTCTCTCTCTTTCTCTGTTCCTTTAATATAAAATTCAAATAAAAAAAAAGAAACTTGATGGACATAAATCAAAATTCCATTTGCTTTTTTCTTCTCTTTTTTCTCTTTCTCTCTCTTTTTTTTTCCTCTTTCGTTCTTCTTCACGAGAAATACCGTCGAGCCATAAGTAGATACAAAAATTGCCCGATGGCGATCGTTGTTGAATGGGATAATGTGAAAGAAATAGAAAAAGGAAAGAAAGGAAGAAAGAGAGAGAGAGAGAGAGAGAGAGAGAGAAAGGAAAAAAAAAGAAAAAGAAATAAATAAAAGAGAAAGAGTAAAAAAAAAAGAAAAAACGAGAGAAAGAAAGAACGAAAAAGGAGGAAATAAGAGGAAGAAAAAACATACCGTAATTCCTTTAAACGATAAACAGTTTAAAATATTGGTTAGAGGGCGATGGGGAGGGGGTGGAAAGAAGTGTATCGGTAGGTAGGTAGGTAGGTAGGTAGGTAAATAGGTAAGATAGCTAAGTAGGTAGGTAGGTAGGTAGGTAGGTAGGTAGGTAGGTAGGTAAAATGAGAGAAGGGGAAGGGCAGGGGAAGGTGAAGAGGGGTGGGAGAAGTAATAGAAAGTTGTAGTAACGCAAGAGGCCAACAAGGTAGTTCAAACTATCGATTCGGTTAACGATATAGCGCGGGAAGGAAATTTCCTGAAACGAGCTTGCACCAGCTGGTGCACACGTTAATATTATATGTCACTTCGCGCAAAGGGAATTGACTTTCGTTGAGAGTCCTATGAGTAACGATCGTATAGAAAATAGAAAATGGAGTAGGGAGGACGACGATTTTCGTGAGGTTTTCTCGTGACTAAAAAAAAAAAAAAAAAAAAAAAAAAGACTCTACTTTATAAATCGTACTCTTTCATTGAACCGATGTCGAAGCTTCCTCCTCCTTTTTCTCCATCCCCTCGACTACTTTTTCTTTTTCTTTTTTTATTCTACTTTTCTTTTTTCTCCTCTTCTTCCTCTTCTTTTTTTCTTCTTCTTCTTCTTTTTCTTCTTCTTCTTTTCTTCTTCTTCTTCTTCTTCTTCTTCTTCTTTCTTCTTCTTCCTCTCTTGTTCTTTCTCGTCGTTTAAATCTTTTTCTTTCGTGGAAACGACACGAAGAAACTTTACTGAACGTAGACTTTAAAGTCACGACATGCCACCTTTCTAAAGTACGAAAAGCTCCTTCATTGTTATCTCTTTTTCTCTCTCTCTCTCTCTCTCTCTCTCTCTCTCTTTCTTTCCCTTCGCGTTAAACCAAGTTATAACCCTCGTTGAAACACGCTTTATCTGTTATAATGTAAAATTCAAATTGTCTAATCTTACGAGGAGTTGGAATAGATTATGACGATCCTAATAGGTAAGAGAAAATAATAGTTGGGAATATTAAAAAAAATAAAGAAAAAATAAAGAAAAAAAAAAGGAAAAAGGAAAAAGGAAAAGAAAAAACTTTTAACGTGACGATTCTAATCTATATATTCGTGTACACGTATACGAATAAATATATCTGTATATAAATACGAATCTAAATCGTAAAACCTTGAATTTATCTTAATCTCTAAAACGAGAAAGATATATATATATATATATATTTATATTATATACTTTATATACTCAGATCTTTGGGAAATGGTTATTCAACCTCATTCAAAGATTTCATCATCGTATATACGTACATAACTACATACATATCTAAAGGTAAGTACCTATCTCTCCTGTCATTTTTGGAAAGTAATTGTACATCCCTGGTAGATAACAAGAACTCTAAAGTAAAGCTTTTGATATTTGCCTCAGGCTAATTTCGCATATCTCTACCTATACCTATATACATATACGTATATGTAAAATTACTTTAATTAGTTATATCAATCAAAACAGAAAATACATATATATATATATATATATAT